GTTCCTATTTGTTCATATAATTATATATATGAAAAAGTTATTTTTTACAAAGTTTTGGTGATTTTCACCCTGCAATGACATAAATAGGGTAACTCACTAGACCTTTCGGTCTAACCCTCGTTTTGTGATTTTAAATATGTATTGTAGGAGGTACGGACGGTAAGGAAAATGGGAAAATGTGATATTTTCCTATATGCATTTCTACATGAAGAWTTGTMTATGATGTATAGTTTTGATTGATGAACGTTGATTAGTACAAGAAATGTATTTTGAATTTTTGAGACATGTATTCTGTATGGTAAATTCTTGTACTAAGAGACCTGAATGGTATATAAACATGTATTTCTTCCGTATGAAGTATGTGATACATGCAATGTGTTGTATGGGGTGTTACAGCTTGTTAGCTACTTTTATGGTTCTTTCAGATATGTAATAGACCTTCCTGATTTCAAGCCTATCAAAGAATTTTCTTGTAGTCTCGTTAAACATGGTTGCTTGCATTTGAGTACCCTACAAAGCAGAAGTTAATGGATGTTTTTTTTTTCTATTCTTAACTACTAATAGTGATTCAACAATGTTATAAATATGAAATGTACACTTACGTCTTCATCAGTTAGCTCCACATTGAAAACACAACCTTCACCCCTCCTGTTTTTGAATGTATGCATACTACCTTTGCCTGTCAACAATACTTTGATTTTCCAAGTCGCTTGATAAGGGTTTAATGAAGCCAATGGTTGAACTTTTCTCATCATTGCCATTTTCTTAGAGGGTGTCAGACTACAATAAGAACAAAATAACACAATTGTCAAAATAACACAGTTCAAATTATGTTATTTTGTGTTAAAAGTTGTAGTTTTGATTGAATTGAACTTGGCTCCAATTCTAAGTTATGGAATGGCATGTTTGGTATCCTACACCCCAGACCAATTACAAATTCCTTAAACCACAAGATATTTAAATCTTAGTGGCTTTAAGCCTCTAAGATTTCTTATATTTAAGCGATGTTAAAGGGGGATTTTTGCCATGCCACCTCACTGAACTAAATATAAATCATTTCACATTAATTTTGAGAGCAAATACGCTAATTAAACTCAAACCAAAAGCAAACTTAATAACAACAAGAAGAAGGATACATACCACAAAACACATTTTTCTTTACTACCAATTAATGCCAACATGTATCTACATCTTAATCTGAATAATAACAATAAACATACCCACATAAAGTAATCAACTTTACCTGATTTCACTTAGAACCTGTTATAATTGAACATGTTTGTGACTTTTGAAACAGGTTCTAAACCCTAAATCCATTTACAAGAAATTAAAGAAGAAATTAAATGAAAAGGGAAGGAAATGCACCTAATTGCAAAATTAAGGTTTGCTTCGTGTTTTGAGAATAGTAGAGAGCAAGCGACACAGGACAATGCAGCAACAGAGAACAATAGCACAACAAAATTAGGCTTGCACATAGCGTTAATATGGTGAGGTTAGTGTTTTGAAGAGCAAGGGAGCCGCACATGGGAGATAATTCAGGGGCTTGGGGTGGGGAAGAAATGTGGGAGGTGGAGAAGAAATGCGTCAAATTTGGTGAGGTTATTGTTGTTAAACTTGTAACTGATGCATAAGGGGTAGTACCTCTTGAAATTCAACTCTTATCCGTTTAAGCTCTTTATATATATATATATATATATATATATATAATATAGATATGTAGATTCATGGGAAAACCCCTAAAAATAAAAAACTAAGGAACACCTTGATAACCGTTCATCTGAACAGTATGCACATGTGCATACAAGTAATTGAAGCTGTTTTTTGGTCTTTATGCTTGTGTGAATGTGGCAAATTGCTTGTATCCATATGTGCATATTGTCCAGATGAATGAGACCAAGGTATTCATCAGTTTTTTTATTTTTTTTGTGGTTTTCCTCTAAACCTAACCATATATATATATATATATATATATATATATATATATATATATATACACACATATATATATATATTTATACACACACACATATATATATATATATATATCTAGAGAGAGAGATATAGGGGGATATTTACTTTGCAAACCATCCATTTCATACGAACCCTACAAACCAATCACATCCATCCATTTTCATGATCAAATGCCTTGATTAAAACAAGTTATTTTAGTAAAGTAAAAAAAATAAAACAAAAACAATATTATTATTTTCTCCAATAAAGGACAAAACGGGAACAAGTTTTAAACGTTTGAGATCATTGAAATCTCCGTTCCCAAAACTAAATCCCATTTCCTAAAAATTATTATTAAACAACAATAATGAATGAAATATTTTGAAAATTGAATGAAACATTTTGAAAATCGAATAATATGATTTCATTAGTGAAATTGGTTTCATGAATGAAATATTTTGATAACTGAATAACATGATTTCATTAGTGAAATTGGTTTCATGGTTCCTAATCAAAATAAAATTGCTTAATTGAAACTAAATATGATTCAGTCAATGGAACATTTTGAAAACTGAATAACATGATTTAATTAATGAAATAGTTGCATGGTTTCTAACCAAAATGAAACATTTTGAAAACTGGATAAAATGATTTCATTAATGAAATTTGTAAGGTAATCAATTTATTTATGAATTTTACAAATGAAACAAAACAATATACTCAAAATCTGGAAAATATCGCAACTATAATATTAATAAATCAGAAAAGAACTATAAATTGAAAAAAAATACCGATTTTTTTTCAATTAAGAAAATGAAATAAATAAATTTCTAAGAAAAAAATGATTATAAAAAAACTCTGAAATTGACGGATTATTTTTATTTAATAAAAGAATACAAAATATTAATGTTAGTAAGTATCTATAAAAATTTACCAATTTCAAGATTATTATATAAACAAATTGATTGATCATTTACTAAAAAACCTCTAATTTGTATAATCTCCATGATTTACATACAATTAAAATATTACTAAAATTATCTATTATAAAGTTAAAGGACAATCATATCCTTATGAATTAAAAATAAAGGAAATTAAATGGAATTATGTTATTGATTGATGCTAGTTTGTATAGTTTATACAAAAGAAAGCAGTTTGTATTTGATCGCTCCTCTCTCTCTCTCTATATATATATATATAGGGGTCTAATCAAATGAGAACTAGATAGTTTGTGGTAACTGTGAGGTCCAATATGAGCTAATCATTTTAGATAATTAATGTTATTTACTAAAATAAAACGAAAAGTAAATTAGTAAATTGTGTTGTTTATTTAATTTACTTTCATTAGTTTAGTATTTCAATTTACTTTAATTAGTTTAATTATTTTAATATATGTGTATATATATACACACACACACGGGGACAAATAGGGACTAAATCCGGTGGCCTTCTCCGGGACCCACCACCACTCCGGTGACCTCCTCCGGTTATCTTGTCTGACCAAGACACCGTCTCTGATGATCGACCACTATACACCCACATGTGGCAGTGATACCACAGTTGGTAGCATAGTAGTCTCAAAGTTTACTTGATGTGTTTTAGGTATCACATTGTATATATATATATATATAGAGAGAGAGAGAGAGAGAGAAAGAGAGAGAGAGAGAGAGGAGGTTTACTTTGCAAACCATGTTATTTGTACAAACCGTATAAACCTCATTCAACCAATCATAATTTTTTATTTTTTCTAGTTTTTTCATTTTTTATTTTTTGCAATTATGAGAGGTTGATTAATCATTTTTATTGTGGAGGGTGTTAATCATGGATATTATGATCTTCATTATATTAATTTTAAATAAATACATGAAATAGTTTCATTAAAATTTCATAAGTATTATATGAAACAATTTCATAACGATTTATGAAATAATTTCATAACCATATATGTAGGGCTGTAACGAACCTAACGTTCAGCTAACCGTTCGTGAATCGTTCGATGGGAAGTTCGTTTATGTTAGTTTATTTAATAAATGAACGAACATGAACAAAAAAATTGTTCGTTTAGTTAAACGAACGAACATGAACAATATTCTCGTTCGTTCATTTATGCTCGTGAACGTTCGTTCACTTATGTTCGTGAATGTTCGTTCGTTTATGTATTAATTTTAATATATAATTTTTATTTATTTAGTTTGAAGTCAATTTTTAAAAACCTTTTTAAGTATTGGGCTTTTAAGAGGGTTTTGGCCTTTTAATATTGGGCCTTTTTTAAGAGGGTTTTACTGGGTTGTTCACTTATGTGTCTTCTAACTCAGTAACTCATGTCGTCTACGGTCTAGGTCAAGTTTCACGTATTGTCACCGAGTGGTCGACTGGTCGTGACTTGTGAAGGGCAGAAGTAGAAGGGGACAGGTGCAGTGCAGGCTGTGCAGCTCTTGGAGATCAATCGCCAATCGTGAAGGGCAGAAGGGGCGACAATCTCTATCTAGGTACGTTCTCTCAACTTTTCTACCTTAAAAGATCGTCATGAAAGAGTATTTTGAAGAGTTATGGAGCTTAGAATGTGTTCGTTGTGTTGCGCCCATTGATATAACCTGCATATTGTTTAAACATGAATGATTTTGATGATAGCTGACCAAGAAGCCCTCCTGCTATGAAATCATCTTCCTTCTTCCTCCCATTATCGTCGCTTTTAATCCTACTGCTGAATCCCAATTCAGTGATCCACTCCTCATTGACTTAGGTTCGGTTTCTTGAATGATGGAAGGACATTAGGGTGTTGCTTGGTTAGCCCGGGAGCAATGGGTGTGACCGTTACACGTCACAAGAAGAAGTTGGATCCTGTCCATTGCTCAATGTCAAATGAGACTTTCAAAAACAATGAATATTCATCGAGATATATATATATATATATATATATATTATCTTTCTTGATATTTCACAAGTATTTAAGCATTTAAATTATTTGTCAAAACAAAGGTAACAATTTTGACATGTCTTTTAATTGATATGATGACAAATTCAAATATCTTTTAAATTGTAAAGGACAATAGCATTCTTGGTGTTATTTCATAATTCCAATGTACTGCGTTCAAAATCAGAATGACTTGTTTGATAATGCTTTGTGTTTTGTTTATTATGTTTGTTCTATTCTTGTTTTTTATACCAATTAAGTTATTCTAGATCTATGGCGTGTGAATTGAATCGATCATATTAGGTCAAGCTTTTGACTCATACGGGTATGAATTGAGTTGCGCCATCTTGTATATCCTTTTTGCAACAAGTTTGTGCATCACTTATGTGGCAGCTCTAAATATATGAACTACTGGTATGTGATTTTATGTTACAGACAATTGAACCACTAATAAAACATTATTTTGATTATTTAAACTTTTTTTTTTTGCATTTTGTAGATGTCTGATGTCTCTTGTAGCGGTCCATATTTCTTTCATGATAATTTCTATTTAGATCGAATGCAATCGCCTCAAGAACTTGAATCAACCGAAATTGAATCAAGGGAAAACACATCAAGAATGGAAAGTACCCCTGAAGTGGTTGTTATCGGATCGAATGATGGAGACGACGTTGCAGCAGCCGTTGATGGTGGTAGAGAAAAGGCCACAATCAACAATAAAGAATCTACTCCATATGCTAAAAGGAAAAGAAAGAAGACTTTAGGAGTTTGGGAACATTTCGCTTGGTGAAGTTGGCTAATGGAACTGAAGTTTGTGAGTGCATCCAATTTGGTGAGGAGATAAAGAAACTTAAAGATGGAACCACCACATCATTGCATAGGCATATTAGTGATTGCCCAAAGTTAAGAGTCGTCAACACCATTCATCCAGGTCAGTTAAAGTTAAAGGTTATGCCGAGGAAATTAGATTCTTCTATGGTCCAAAACTAGAAATTTGACAATAGTAAGATTAGAGAGGTTGTTTCTCACATGATTATGGTTCCTGAGTTGACATTTAATTTTGTTGAGTATGAACTATTTAATGTGGTTATGAAGGAAGCTAACCCCGGGTTTAACAAGATTTCACGTGCATTAGCTAAGCAAGATTGGTTGCTAGTTATGAGATAGGCAAGAAAAGAATCAAGAAAATGTCAAGCGCTGTCAATCGTGTGAGTATAACAACTGATATGTGGACGTCGGTGCAGAATATTCATTATATGGTTGTTACTTGTCATTTTGTAGATTCTGATTTCAAGCTTAACAAATGCATAYTGAGTTTTATTGATGTACCACCACCTTATTCTGGACTATGTATATATGATTCCCTCTTTAAGTGTTTAAAAGAGTGGAATATTGAGACAAAGGTTGCTACTTTGATGATTGACAATGTTACAACTAATGATGTGGTGGCTACAAAGTTGATGGAAATTATGAATCTTCAGAAAAAGCTTGTTGTTGGGGGAAGTTATTCCATGTGCGGTGTTATGCACATATTCTCAACTTGTTGGCTCAAGATGGTTTATCATAAATAAAAGACATTATTCACAATGTTCGTGAGATGTGAAACACGTGAATGCCTCTCTAGGTCAATTGCATATATTTAGCGAACTTTCCAAGCAAATGACCTTATCAAAGAAGCATTTGATCTTAGATGTTAGTACCCGATGGAATGCTACGTATGTTATGTTGTCTACGGCCTTGGAGTTTACAGAAGTGTTTGTGAATTATGTCGATCAAGAATCAACATACAAGACCTTGCCGACCTCGGAAGATTGGGACAAAGTTGAAGTTATATGCTCCTTCTTGGGGCTTTTCAATGAGGTTACAAAAATAATTTCAGGTATTATTGATTCTCTTTATGGTTTTCATTCTAAGTCATTTTTTCAAAGCTAATCACTTAATTCTCATACACTTTTATTTACTTCTTTTATTTTATAGGCTCCGAATATCCTACCTCTAATTTGTTTCTTAGTGAGTTGTATGGGATTAAAGAAGCATTAGATGATTTATCTTTAGATGAGAGTAAATACATGAGAGATATGGCTCTTAAGATGAAAAAGATATTTGACAAATATTCGGGTACTTGTAATATGTTGATTTCCATTGGTGCTGTTTTAGATCCTAGATACAACATGAAGTTGGTTGAGTTCTCTTTTAGTTCCATTTATTCAACGGATGAGGCACCTAAACAAATGAAAATTGTTCAAGATACTCTTACTAAAATGTTTGAAGAGTATGTTGAACAACATAAAGCAGCTAATGTTGTTCAAATAAGTAGTGCACCTAACAAGAGTGAAAGTCGAGTTAAGAGTGGTTATATCAAGTTAAGTTTTAGAGTTGGTATCTAGAGTGGCATGGCAAAGTATGATCAACATATCAGAAGCGTTGACACTTTTGTAAGTGTGAAGTCAGAGTTAGACATTTATTTAGAAGAAGGCGTGTACATTGGTGATTCAGGTGCATATTTTGATGTCGTAGAGTGGTGGAAGGAGAAAAATCTGAAGTTCAAAATTTTGTCTAAAATGGTTGTTGATGTTTTGGCAATTCTGATCACTATTGTTGCTTCAGAATAAGCTTTTAGTGCTGGTGGGAGAGTTATCGATGCTCATCGCGCCTCTTTAGGGACGAAGACGGTAGATATGCTCATTTGTGGGGCTGATTGGTATCATCATCATTGTAGACTACACAAAAAGAAAACCAAGGTAATTTGCTTAATCTTATCAATTATGATACTTGTTTTCTTACAAAAACTCATTTAGGCATGTTCGTTTATGTTCATTTAGGCATGTTCGTTTATGTTCATTTAGACATGTTCGTTTATGTTCGTTCGTTTATGTTCATTTAACGAACAAATATAAAAGAACACGAACTCACCTGATTTCTAAACGAACGAATACGAACATAATTATTTTCGTTTGTTTATCGTTCGTGTTCGTTCGGTTCGTTTATAGCCCTACATATATGAAATAACTTCATCTAGAAAAGTATTATATGAAGCAACATAATAATAAACAATTTCATGAAACAAAATCATTAAATTAAACAATAAAATCGACGGATAAGGGTGGTTTACACGGTTTGTACAAATATGGGTGGTTTGCATTTGATCGGTCCTCTCTCTCTCTCTCTCTCTTTATATATATATATATATATATATATATATATGGGGAAAGGTTCAAACACCTTCATTTTACAAGAACCCGAGAACACCTTTTTACTGTAGACGATCACATGTAATACTATTATTCCATCACATATGATACTAAATCAGATACGCGAACGATTTTCCGGTGCGATCTTGGTTGCGGGCCAAGTCGCCTTTACACCACTAAGCCCCCTCACAAGTATTATCACATGTGATAAGGTGGTTTTTGATATGATACTATAATCCATCAAGACCATCACATGTGATGCTAAATCATAGACGCAGACAACTTTTGGCGCGGCCTAAGTCGTTGAACACGTCGTCCGCACATCACAAGGTCCACTCACGCATATTATCACATGTGATAAGGGTGTTCTCACGTTCTCGTAAAATGAAAGTGTTCTCGTTTGAACCTCCACCTATATATATATATATATATATATATATAGAGAGAGAGAGAGAGAGAGAGAGAGCGATCAAATGAAAACCGCTCTCATTTGTATAAACCATGTAAACCAATCTCATCCATCCATTTTCTTGATCAAAGGTCAAGATTAGTTTAGGTTATATTAGGAAATTAAAAAATTAAAAAAATTATTTTATAATCCCAAAAAGGGAAAATGGTAACTTTGGTAATGGTAATATTAATGGCAATCATATCATGTATATCGTAATATTAATGAAACAAATCATTTGTATGATAATATATTAATTTTATGTTCAAATATTATTGAAAAAATAACATCCATCATTAAAATAGATCAACAATACAAATAAAACACATTACAATCAATTTAACATAATGAAACCTTTTGAATAAAAAAAATTACTACTACATTTTATGAACGAAATGGTTTCACAGTTTTATCAATACACAAATCAACGTAATACTAGATGAGACATTTGTCATTTTCAAGAATCCGGTAGATGGATCCGTTTCAATCTAATTATGAAATGGTTTCATTGTTTGCTAATTAAACAACATGTTCTTAACAATTATGAAATGGTTTCTCTGTCGTTATGCACCCATTTCATCGACAAAGTTTTTACAATCTTAACACGTTTCATAGTTTCATCAATACACAAATTAACATAAAGTTAGATGAGACATTTGTCATTTTCATGTTATTGGTAGATGGATCTGTTTCAATCTAATTATGAAATGGTTTCACTGTTCGCTAATTACACAACATTTTTTTAACAATTATGAAATGGTTTCACTCTCGTTATGCACCTATTTCATCGACAAAATTTTTGCAATCCGAACACGTTTCATACCGTCAATGCATTTACTATTACAGGCTTTGTTAACCATAAAGTGAACAAAATCATCCAAAAAAAAATGAAACAATTTCATCAATAATTGTTGTTAATCAAACAAGATTATCCAAAAATATTATATTACGCAACCAGTTCATCCCCAAAAGTTTTATTAAACAAGCTCCTCAGTGAACGTTTTCACGAAACAATCTGCATACGTTTCATTATATTATTTTCCATTTTTTTTCATTAAAGTAGTGTCTTTTTTTGTAATACAACATATTATGTATCCTATTAAATTATGCAACGATTTAATGAAACTTTTTTGCTATCTAAACATGAATATGTTTCAGTAATATTTATATTTTTACCGGTTCATGAATCTTTGTTAGGATTTGTTACTGATTTTGTGGATCAATGAATATAACTTTTTGATCTTCATATTTTTACAACGTATAAACCTATAAAACAAATAAACATATTTAATTTTTAAAATATTAAATTAAATAAACATTTAAATATTACTATTTCTAACATTTCCTTTATTACGTTTCCTTAATTAAGATTTCTTAATAACTTTCATATTTAATCAAAAACAATGTAAATGACAATTCAATCCTTAATAATTAAATTTAATTAAAAAAATTCCTATGTAAATGACAATTCAACCCTTAATAATTAAATTCAACCGATCCTGCCTATATATATATATATATATATATACACACACATATATATACATATATATATATGGGCTCATTCAAGGGAGAACTGATTAGTTTGTGGAACTGTGTGATCCAATTTCAACCACAAATCAACGGATAAATTAGGAAATTAAAAATTATGGTAGTTTGAGTTAAAATTATAATTAGAGGGCTTTTTAGGTTATTTTTAAAAAACTCCTCTCTCATCTCTTCGACCTCCGATCTCCGGCCTCCGGAGAATATTAATCCGGCAGGTATGAAGTAATCACAAATATACATAATGTGATACCCATTGTGATATAATTGTGATATCATTGTGATACCAACTATGATACCAACTCAAACCTTAAAAACAAATATACACAGTGTGATACCCATTGTAATACACAATGTGATACTCATTGTGATATATTGTGATACCGATTTCACCAGAGGCCGGAGATTGGAAGTCGGAGAGAGGAGAGATGAGTTTTTAAAAAATACCTAATATGCCTTCTAATTATAATTTTAACTCAAACTACCATAATTATTAATTTTCCTAATTTATCCATTGATTTGTGGTTGAGATTGGACCTCACAGTTAGCACAAGCTAATCAGTTCTCATTTGATTAGGCCCATATATATATATATATATATATATATATATATATATATATATAGGAGCGATCAAATAAAAACCACTCAATTTGTACAAACCGTGAAAACCTTATTCAACCAATCATAATTTTTCATTTTGTTCATTTTTTGTAATTATGAGAGGTTGATTAACCATTTTTATTGTAGAGGGTGTTAATCATGGATATTATCATCTTCATTATTTTAATTTTAGAGAAATACATGAAACAGTTTCATTAAAATTTCATTAAATATTATATGAAACAATTTCATAATCATATATGAAACAAATTCATCAAAAAAAGTATTATATGAAACAATTTCATAATCATATATGAAACAAATTC